AATCGCAGGCTGAAGTTGGGTTGAGGCACGGCAGGGTAAATGAGGATGCTCCGGAGACAAAAGAGACTCGGAACGGGGCTGGCGCGTTCCCGGGGGGGCCCCGAGGCGGTTGTGTGGGGTGGGGGGTACCCCACAGGGGCCCTGAGGTGATGGGGTACGTGCCCCACAGCGCCACGGGCAGCACTGAGCACAGACGGAGCCTGTGATGGAGGTCACTGCACGGCCCCCTGGTCACACACAGCAGCCGTGAGGGGATGGAAACGTGTTGGATCAGAGACAAAGGCAAGGATGGAGACGGGGCCAGGCAAGGGGCAGGCACACTCGGGGGGCACCGGTACCCATGGGGAAAACTCGCTTCTTCTGCAGCCTTCAAGCACCGTCGGGGGGGGGGGCAGGCAGGAACCTGCTCTCTGGGTCCGTGACCGGTCGTGGACCGCGCAGCACAGCTCAGCAGCATCACATACACAGTTCCCTTGCACAGAGACCAAGTGTCCCCCTCGTCTCATCCCAAGTAAGTTCTGAGGCAAAGCACTGCAATCCACTGGGAGCTGGGGCACAAAGACACTGCGGAGCCTTGGATGCTCCTTCAGAAACCAAACCTTGCCATTAACCCTCCCTTGCTGGGGGCTTTGTTGTGGTCTCTCTACCCCTTCCCTTTCTGAGCAGTGCCGGGGCTGTTCTGAGCCTGCCTGGGCACAGCAATGCAGTCACCCACCCCTCAACTCCACAGCTCCCCACTGCAACAAGCCTGTAACGTCTGCTGACAATTAGGAGTGATCATTAATGAGACCCTGAGGTCTCTAAAGCTCAGCAGGGTGCAGCTGCTATGGAAGCACTTCCCCATATGAAAATGGCACAGAACAAAAGCCACAGCATCCCCAGGGTGGCAGCGAGACCCAGAGCATCCCTCTGCCACCAAGTGAGCCCGGTAACGTCAGCCTCTCCTTCCACCTAAGAGGTGAGACCCACGACCACACAATCACCCATCCCCTTCAGGTCAGACTTCAACTCATGGCAAGCAACAACACTGCCAGCGAGGGGTGCAGAAGCAGAACAAGGGCTGCACAGTGATGCAGGACTGCAGCTTGGCCACCTCTGGATCCGGTGTGTCTGAGAAAACACTGGGGAGCAACAGCAAAACAACCTTAGAGGCTGTGTTTGACAGGCGAAATGAGGGTGGTTTTCAATCACACGGGCTAAATCCGTTAATGTAACACCACTGAAAGCCCCCCGAAGACCTGTTAAGATGCAGACCAGTGCGTTGGAACCATGTTAACCTGCCATAGGGATGCTGGGGGGGGCAGACCGAGGATTACTTATTGAAAACCCAAGTCATTTTGTCCATCAAGAGAGCAAAAAGCCCTGCAATAAAAGCAGTCCCTCCTGGAGGGGGCTGATCCCCTCGCTCACAACTGCAGTCAGCAACAGGCACTTGTGCTAAGACATAAAGGGCTCAGTCCTACCCACCCTCCATGCACGCTGACACCCATGGCTCTGAGGGGGTAACTGAAGGCAGGATGCAGCTCAAGGGGGCCAGGTTTATTACTCTAGGAGCAGTACAATGCGTTAGTAAAGGCACAAAACCCTCAGGGATTGGATGTTTTTTAAAGGTGTGACCAGAGTTCTGCCATCTCTGGTCACAGAATGCATCACTCAGGAATGAATGAAGCAGCAGCAATCCTCAGCAGACCCAACCTTACCATTTAAAGGCACTTTTTTCTTAACCTTAAGCCTTAGAATGGGAAACAGGACAGAAAGAGGCATCCCCCCAAAGACTGCACTTTGTTTCCCCAGCCCCACTTCACCACGTGGAACGACAGCAGGGCGCATCCTCACTGCATGGCCACCCCTGCAAACGAACAGCCGCACTAAAGGCAGCAGGCATGGCATGAGCTTGAGCTAAGAGCTGCAAAACCGCAGTGGATTCAGCAGGTTGAAATCCCTGACACGCTCACAGGACACTGTGGCATTGAGCATTAACCAGATCTCTCTGGGCCCAGCGCTGATTCAGTGTATTAAATGCCCACGCTAAGGGCTCGAGGCTCTTTAGCAGTTATTTGGTATGATGATAACCACAAAGAAGTCCTATCTAAAGAACTCCTTACAGCCTCTTTCCCCCTTGCGCTGCTTCAGAAGGGAGAAGGCTCTTTAGGAGAAATCTCCCTCTGTTTTACTTGCTCTTCACACTCAAGATCCCTCCTTACCCCATTAAACCTGCTGAAGTCCCTGGGATGTCTCAGATGAGCAGTGGTGTGCAGGGACAGGATGGTTATCGCCCACTTCCAGGCTGATCCATGTACTGATCACGAGGCTCCATCAATAGCATCTCAGAGGCAGATTTTAACGCTCCCATTCAGATATAAAAGGCAAGCTAAGGATGCAACAGGGATGCAAGAATTCAGCTTTGCCACAGGGGAATGAGTCTGTTTCAGGGGTATAAACCCCTCGAACCACATCAGAGAGAAAGCTCCGCAAGAGAAGACGTCAAAAGCTGGCAATAAACCCTCCAACCCAGCCCCAGGCTTGCTGTGCGGAAAGACTCCACCTCCTCACAAAACACAGCTTTTTATTTCCATGGAAAATAAAGACACGTGGATATCCTAAAAAGTTTGGGAAAATCTCTGATTTGGTGCCTGCAAGGAGCTTGGCCAGTCTGGGCATGGATTTGGCTGGAATTGCTCCTTTTCCTAATGAGCTCTAATCCCCCACATGAAGACAAAGAACCATCAGCATCACAAGCCCCATCCCAGACACGTTCAAAACCATGAAGGAGGCCAAGGAACACACGGAGAATTCAAGCCCTTTGCTCTGAAACAGGGGGAAAGAGACTGAGAAGAAACACAGCACCTTGGGCTGCTCCAGTGCTGCCTTTCGGAGGGTCCTGATCCCACGGAAACGAGGATGCAGTCATTCCAAAGCGGGTTCCCAGGGATTCCTTTCACCTCATCCCAGCCACAGGCACCTGCTGCTGCTTGCGGATCTTGTTGAACAGCTCCATGTACTGCACCATGGTGTCCGAGGGGCTGTAGATGCTGTCGTGCTTGGTGCCAAACACGGAGGGGAGGCCGGGAGCGTGGCTCCCCATGAAGCTCTGCATGAACTCCATGAGCAGGCTCCAGCAGTCGTTGGCTATCACACACGGGCAGTACTCCACCTGGCAATGGAAACCACAGCCCTGAACCTCTTCCTTCTCTCCACCTCCCTGGAGAATGCTTTGCACAAAGACACCTAGGGATATTTAGCATTTAACAAGGACGGACAAATAGACATGAACAGGACATGCTGGGAACATAGAATCATGGCATGGTTTGGGTTGGAAGGGAGCTTAAAGCTCCTCCAGCTCCAATCCCTGCCACGGGCAGGGACCCCTTCCACTAGAGCAGCTTGCTCCAAGCTCCTGTGTCCAACCTGGCCTTGAACACTGCCAGGGATGGGGCAGCCACAGCTTCTCTGAGCACCCTGAGAAGCAACTCTGGGCAATCCCAGCCTTGGGATTTAAGGACTTCAGTGGTTTTCTGAGTCTGGTCCCAAAGCAGGAGTAGCTGCAAATGCAAATCCTGGAGGAACTCCTCAGAGCAGCAGCGAGACTGCCTGCAAATCCCACCCTGAACTTGAGCTTAGGGTAAACCAGGTTCTGTTCAACCCCGGCTCAGCAGCAGCACTAATGCTGCGACACGGGTGTTCAGTGCAGCAGAGGAAGGAGTCATTCCCCAGCGCTCTGCCTGCTGGCCAGGAATGTGCAGGAGCAGCGGGATCATAGCTGTGGATCAGGTAATGGGATTTGTGTGCTTAGAAAAGCTGGTTTTGAAGGACTTTTCAGCACCTAATTCCCAGCTATCTTAAGGACCGTTGGGTACCAGTCCGGCGGGATGCCTGATCAACCTCAAGCGTGCTCCTAATGCTGCACATTGAGACTTCAGGGAGCTTTTTAGCCTGGTTTGGTTTGGTTATTGACACTTCAGCGATGCAGAAGGCACAGGGCATTTCTCCTCTCACCAACATGGTATTTCCCTGCCTGCCGCTGTGCTTCAGGCCCTTCACATTCAGCTTCTTACCTCCACGGATATCCCACGGGCGCTGGGGCCCATGGTGACCGTGCCCACCTTCACCAGGAAGTCGCAGTACTGGTAGCGGGTGCCCCTGGTCTCTATCTTGTTGGCTTTGGCGTTCTGGAAGAAGCCTTTGAGCTTCACCATGAGGATGTCGAAGTTGGCGTCCGCGATGAGGCAGGGGCCGCTCTCGAAGAGCGCGAAGCAGCTGAGCGGGTACTCGGAGTTGTGCATCACGTACATCAGCTTCCCCGTTTGCCCTGCAAGCAGACCAGCGGGATTTGGGCTGCGAAACCACCACTCCCGTCCTTGGTGGTGCTTTAGAGCAGCATCCGGTTTAACCTTGTCCTCCGGGTGCCTTTCATGCCCGGGTGCCGCTCACATGCACGGTGTCAGCAGTGAGCAGAGTGATTTGGGGCTTAAGATTAAACGTTAAAGAGGAGGAAAGAAACCAAACCTGCAGCTCGAGGATAACACACCAGCACCCCCGGGGGGGGGCTGGAGGATGCGCTGGAGCCGAGACCCCCAGGTCAGCAGAGAGAAGAGGAGAAGCCCCGCTGCCCATCACTGACCCTGGGTGCCGATGGTGGACGCTGCCGTGTGGTAGGTCTCGCAGTCCACGCAGAAGGTGCCCTGCTTCTCAGCGCCCAGCACCTCCAGCTTCCGCGTCAGGAGCTCCACCGTCTGCTGCACGCTCTTCCCCTCCGCCACCGGCACCTGCGACACGCTGCAACGGGGGAGAAGGAGGGATGAGAGACCCGGTACGGACCCCCCCCTTCCCCCGGGGGACTCCCATTCCCCACCGCCTCCCAGCCCCGGTACCAGGTCACCCCCATCCCGCCCGCACGGAGCCAACGCCGGAAGGGGCCGAGCCGCGGCGGCGGCCCCGGAAGAGGCGGGTCCGGGCGCACACGCGTGGTCCCCGGTGCCGGTTCTTCGCTCCCCAGCGCCATGCCCAAGGTGCGGCGGACGCGGGGCCCCGGCCCCGGCCCCGCTCCGGGGCTGCCGCTGGCGGAGCAGATCCTGCGGGAAGCGGCTCCTCGGGCTCCGCGGGCGGGCGCGCAGGACGAGGACGAGCGGGAGCCGGGCTACGTGGACGCGCGGCTGTCCCGGCGCATCCTGCAGCAGGCGCGGCGGCAGCAGGAGGAGCTGGAGGCCGAGCACGGCCCCGGTGTGCCCGAGCAGCGCAGCACGGCCCTGGGTGAGCCCCCGGTCCCGGCCCCGGTCCCCAACGCGAGAGGCCCCGGGCTCAAGCAGCGCCGGTCCCCTCCGCAGGCCCCGGTTCCGACTCGGAGGACGATGAGGAGTGGCCGTCGCTGGAGGCGGCGGCGGGGCGCGGCGGGGAGGTGGCGGTGGACCCCGAGGACGAGGCGGCCATCGAGCGGTTCATGAACAAGAACCCGCCGCTGAGGTGAGTGCGGCGGCGGGCGCAGGAGCGGGACCGAGCCGGGGGTCGGTGGAGGTGCTGAGCACGGCCCTGACCCGAGCCCTGCCGCAGGCGCACGCTGGCGGACATCATCCTGGAGAAGATCACCGAGAAGCAGACGGAGGTGGACACGGCGCTGTCGGAGGGCTCCGGCTGCCCCGTGCCCCAGCTCGACCCCCGCGTCCTGGAGGTCTACAGGGGGGTGCGAGAGGTGAGGCTGCCGCAGCTCTGTCCCATCACCGTTGGTCGCTGAGCACCCAGGCTGCTGCCGGGTGATGCTATGGGCATGGGGTGATACCGGGATGGCTTGTGCTCACTGGGGATGCTTTGGCGTGGTTGTGAAACAGGTCCTGGTCTTGGTGCCCAAACGTCGCGGCTTAGTCTTTTATCTGCATCTTTTTAGGTGCTGTCCAAATACAGGAGCGGGAAGCTCCCCAAGGCATTTAAAATCATTCCTGCCTTGTCCAACTGGGAGCAGATCCTCTACATCACGGAGCCGGAGGCATGGACAGCGGCTGCCATGTACCAGGCCACCAGGTGAGGTGGTCTCTGGGATGTTTTCCCTGTTTCTTTCCATAGCTGGACCCAGGTTTGCAGAACCTGTCCCCTGCCTGGCTCCATCCTCACTCTGTGCTTTGCTTTTCCCAGGATATTCTCATCCAACCTGAAGGAGAGGATGGCCCAGCGGTTCTACAACCTGGTGCTGCTGCCGCGGGTCAGGGATGACATTGCAGAGTACAAGCGCCTCAATTTTCACCTCTACATGGCTCTGAAGAAGGCTCTGTTCAAGCCAGCAGCTTGGTTCAAAGGTACTTGGGTTCTCTGGGAGGTCGGTGGCAGGTTAGGAACCATCTTGGCTCTGATCTGGGTCTCGTCTGGCAACCTGAGGTTCAGGGCTGGTGGGAGCTGCTGGAGGAGCTGTTCTTTCCTGGGTTCAGATGTGTCCCAGGGTGGGAGAAGGGGCGGTATCACAGGGTGATGGTGAAGGATAGGAGCTGCCTGACCCTTCCCTTCCACAGGGATCCTCATCCCGCTGTGCGAGTCGGGGACCTGCACGCTGCGGGAGGCCATCATCATCGGCAGCATCCTCACCAAGTGCTCCATCCCCGTCCTCCACTCCAGGTAAGGTGCTGGGTGGCAGAGATTCTCCTTAGGGACCCCAGCACGATGCCTTGGGTCTCCCCTTCGGCATCTCGGGTTGGGATCCAAGGCTCAGCATTTACCTTTGCCACCTCTGCCCCCGTGTCCCCGCAGCGCGGCCATGCTGAAGCTCGCCGAGATGCCCTACAACGGCGCCAACAGCATCTTCCTGCGCCTGCTCATCGACAAGAAGTACGCGCTGCCCTTCCGCGTGGTGGATGCCCTCGTCTTCCACTTCCTGGCCTTCCGCACGGACCAGCGCGTCCTGCCCGTGCTGTGGCACCAGAGCTTCCTGGCCTTGGCCCAGCGCTACAAGGAGGACCTGTCCTCGGAGCAGAAGGAGGCTTTGCTCGAGCTGCTCAAGTTCCACAGCCACCCGCAGATCTCACCGGAGATCCGGAGGGAGCTGATGAACTCCAAGACTCGGGATGTGGAGGATCAGCAGCCTGCAGCCATGGAGTGAGCAGGGACGGGGGGGGAAAGCCACAGCTTGAGCTGCTCCCGGGATGCTGCTGGATGGAGTTCTCAGTGTGTGAATGAAGCCGTGAGGAGCTGGGCAGGAGCATCCGGCCAGGATCCTGCTGCCCCAAGTGCTGTGCCCATAGAGCTGGCCCGTGCTCCCTGGGGCAGGCAGAACCTGGTGCCATCAGCGCCAGGGAGGGTTTGGCTTGTTCCTGTGTTGGAAAATAAACCTGGAGCAGTGTCCATGGTTTTGGATCCACGGCTGCATCCTGCGTGGTCCTCCCCTACCCCATCCTGTCCCCAGCAGGTGGCAGAGCAAAGCCACCAACCCCAGGTACTGCAGAGCTGCAGCTTCAGTCACTGTGCTGGTGCTGTCCCCAAATCAAGAAGGGACTCCTGTGCCCTCCTCTTCCCTGCCCAGGCCCTGGCTGTGGCTTATTCCCTCTGTGCTGCCCCTGCATGATTGGGGGGACAGGGCTGGGACCCCCAGACTGTTCCCAGAGCCCAGAACCACTCATGATGGCAGGGGGCTTGGAACTGGATGATCTTAAGGTCCTTTCCACCCCTAACTATTCTATGATGGGGAAAAGCAGCCCCTCCTCTTAGGGCCTGAGGGTTTCCTGAGGGCTTCGCTTTTGATCCCCCCCATCCACAGCCTGCACTTTCCTTCCTGCTGACTCCACCAGCAGTGCTGCACTTCCCGTGGGGATCCACCACCAGTGACACTGCAGGGTTTATGCATGGCAAGTACCCCAAAACCAGCACAGGCTCCCACAGCCACAACCCGCACCAGGCTCTGCTGCTTCCTGTCGCTGCTCTCCAGTGCTGGCACCTTCTCCCATGGCAGCAGCAGCAGCTCAGTGCAGGAAGTGACAGGGGCTGCTTGCACCCCGAGTGCCTGCTCCTCGGCTTCCTGAGCTTTATCTCCTTTACAGCAGCCAGAAGCTGATGAGCACGAGCGATAGCCCTGGGCTCGTGCTGCACATCCAGCGAGCTGTCACCCTCCTGCAGCTGCTGCTCCAGTGCTGCTCAATGGGCCTGGGTTTGGTTCTGCATTCACCCCCTAGCATCCCTGAGCTGCTCCAGGGCCTCATCAAGCACAGTGCGATCCCCTCACACCCCACCACGGCTGGAGCTGGCTCCTGCTCCCTGCTTCATCCTGTGGCCGCAGGAAACACAGGGCTGGAGCCCACAGGGACCCCCCCCTCACTGCCAGGGTTGCTCCATGGGGTGACCCGAGGCAGGGCTCTGTAAGGGAAGAGGAGGCCAAGCACAGCCCCAGGTCGCAAAGGGAAACCCCTGAGGCCTCCACACTTGTTCATAAAAGACTTTATTGCAAATCCCAGACACTCCTCTGATGCTCCCAGCAGCGGGAATCTCGCCTGTGAACACCAAACCCACTTTACTCTTAAATTAAAACTCATTTATATATATATATGTATAAAAAAAGGGACATTTTCTCTGTGGACAGACAGGCTCCGTGGCCCCGCGCGCAGGAGTTGGTTCTCCTCATCCCAAGGAATGGCAGCCCATTTCCCACCTGGAAAAAGACTCTTTGTTCCTAGTGGCATCCATATAGGAAGAGTTCTACCTCCTTTTCCACATCCCCCAGGGACAGCGGCCACGGAGCAGCACCAACCAGCCTGCCTCAGCCCTAAAGGGTCTCTCTGGCTTCTCCTGGTCAATACAATTCCAGTCTTGAAGGGGTCTCTCTTAGGGAAGCAGCATTAGTTTTTGCTGGGTTTTCTTTCTTAGAGAAACACTTTTTATCCAAACTAACAGACAGGATCGACAATACACAAAAAGCAGGAATTGCTTCTCAAGTGCGCAGCAAAATCTCCACCTTCCCACTGGGATCCCTGTGGGATTTACTCGGCTCCCGGCCCCGAGGCGTGGAGATGCAGCTCAGACTATAGCAGCAAATGTATTTCTTCAACCCTAGTCTGATTTAAGCTACCCAAACCACCAACCGGCCTCCAAGTGCGGCTCCCACTGCGCAGGGAGCTCGGGAAGGGGATGAAGGGGGAAGGCACTCAAAGGGGAAGGAGAGGAGAGCGGCAAAGCCCTGCGAGAGGGAGCTCCAACTCTTTCCCCTCCATTCCCAGCAGTGAACAATAAATTAAGCAGCCTCAGCAGGCCCAAACCTCACCTGAGCCTGCTGCCCAAGGCAAGGGCTTCGCTCCTGCCCTCCCCAAGCAAGACACCCCCCCCCCCCAAAAACCCCAAACCTAACGGCAACAAGAAACAAGCCCCACGTTTTGCCCTCCAAGCAGAAGCAGCCACACCACCCCCCCAAGAGCCAGAGCCCTCTGGCACAAAGCAATGGGGACCAAGGGACACTGAGCCCCTGCTCCCTCCTCCAGGCCCCCAGTCCTCTCCCTCAAGCCATGCGGGTCTGCAGCCTGCGGAGGGAGTTGAAGGATACAAGGAGTCAGGTCAGGTATCCAGGATCAGAGGCTCTCCATGATCGATGCCCCACACAGGGCTGGAATTCATCACAGTGAAACACCCCCCCCCCTTCCCGAGGGGGTGGTGAACAGCAACGTGAACTGAGCAACACTTTACAACTTCATTTTGGGTCCCGCTGCCCCTTCCCAACATCTCCTGGGCCCTGGCATCACCCAACAACGCTCGCTTCACCCCAGCTACCTGCAGCACTGAGAACCAGCATCCAGCTCCACACTGCCCGCAAGCAGAGCACATCCTCAGCAGCCGGGTGGTGCAAGGCGGCGGGGGGATGCAGCGACCCTTGGGCGTGCAGGGCCCGATGCAGCGGGGCTGGGCTCTGGGGACGTGGTGGTGGTCACAGGTTGACATCCGTGACGTCTGTCGGCGTGCCGGTGGGCTGGCTGCCCGGGTACGCGGCGCTCTTGGAGGCCCGGAGCTCCTGCGGGGTTTGGGATGCTTGCTTCAGGCTCTCGGCTAAGGCTGCCTCGATCTGCTCCTGACAGGCCTTCAGGCAGTCCTGTGGGAGAGGGAGCGACACGAGAGCCCTCAGTTCTCTGCCTTCCAAGTAGCTCTGGGCTTCACGTCTGCCCCATGGAGCATCTAAACACAAAGCAAAGAAGCCTTTCTCCAGCAAGGGGGCATCTCCGGCTTCTCTGGGCTTTAGGCCCCGTGTTCTGGTTGCCTTCTCCCTGCTTGAACACATCCTTGAGGAACAGACATTGTGCCCATCAGAGCTCCCAAGAGGAGTCGTGCTCGTGCCTGATCTGCTCCATCCTGTGTACAACAGCCCCGTGCGGGCGGGTGTCAGCCTTTACAGGCACCCAACAGCCACAGCACCACACACCTGGGTCCTTACTACAACAAAGCAGCGGCCATGCAGCTTCCCACGAGGTTTTCACCCTCCTGCTCTGCCCCTCTGTGACCGGCCCCCAGCACTGGGGACACCCCAGGCCCCAAACAGGAAGGTGCAGGGGGCTGCGAGCAGGGGATTTTATTACAAATCAATTTATTAGAATTAATAAGTCACATAATTAAATCACACACCACCCCCCGTTTTCTCCCCACAAGCTGTAACCAGGAGGAAACTCCTCCACTTGGACACCAGGAGCCATAGGAGCCATCACAGGCCCGCTCCTGCACCCACCGAGGGGACGTTTCGCACCCCAGGGCTGGAGCTGGACACGGGCGCCCGTTGGGGATCGTCACCCCCCAAAATCTCTTACCAGGAATCACCGGCGGTTCTTAGAAACTGACAGAGGATGTGGTGAGTGAAAATAGCAACTGCCTCCTCCCTGCCCCGCTTCCCGGCACCCCCAGGCCCGGGCAATAGCACACAAACACAGCCTGGTTTGGGTGGGAAGGGACCTGAAAGCTCACCCAGCTCCAACCCCTGCCACAGGCAGGGACACCTTCCACTAGAGCAGCTTGCTCCAACCTGGCCTTCAACACTGCCAGGGATGGGGCAGCCCCTTGGCTCTGCACAGCCAAAGCTGGAGCTGCCTGGGCCCTCTCCAGTGGGCAGGGAGCGCAGCAGGGATGCTGCTGGGCTCCATTCCAGCTCCCACCTCGGTGCCTTCCCTGCTTCCCACCTGTCCCGTGCCCCAGCCCCTGCCCCATTCACCACAACAGCAGCTTGGGAGCAGCCGGCGGCTCTGCTCCCCGCTTTGAAGGGCTCTGGCAAACAAAACAGCTTAAAGCTGCACACAGGGATCAGGACTCCCCCCTGCCCGTCCCTCCCTGCATGGACAAAGCCTCAGTCCAGCTCCTGGCGCTGGTGTCAGGGGACTGAAACCGACCCCGTGCCCGGCTGCTGCCTCAGGGCTGGGGCAGGATTGATCAAAAGGGGCTCCTGGCAGGAGAAAGGCTCTGGATTACATCCTGCACTGGGAGTGAGCTGGAAACAGAGAGCCTGGTGGGGTCCCCCTACCCCATCCAAAGGGCAGTGGGAAGGATGGCTCCCATCACCCCAATATCCCCAGCAAAGCCAATGCATCCTGACCCCCTTCCCATGGGAGCCTGGGCACCTGCAACCAGACACCGGTGGAGGGGAGCAGATGCTGAGCCCAGCTTCTCCCTCTGCCCCATCCCACCTCGTCAACCTGATCCCAGCAACACCTGCCTGTGCAGGGAACAGACCTTCCCCTTTGTGCTGCTTTTCAAAGGCTCTGCGCTTGCCCCAGGACTGAGGGTGATGGCTGCATTTAGAGATGCTCACTCAGCTCTGGGCACTCCTCAAACCAAGATCAGCTTCATTAGGAAGAGCCTGACTTCATAGAACCAGAGATCAACCACGTTGGTAAAGACCTTTAAGTCCAACCATTGCCCAGCACTGCCAAGGCCACCCCTAACCCATGGCACTGAGGCCTCATCTCCACGCTGTGTGAACACTTGCAGGGATGGTGACTGCAGCCCTGCCCTGTTCCAATGCCTGAGCACCCTCTGGGGCAGGAATTGTTCCTCAGCTCCATCTAAACCTGCCCTGGTGCAGCTTGAGGCCGTTCCCTCTTGTCCCATCCCTCTAAGAGGAGCAGGCAGCAGGAGCAGGCAGGGTTTCCTTGGGCACTCACCACCTCGGTGCCGGTGATGCTGGCCAGGAGCTCGGTCATGGCCTCGCTGCTGAAGTCGCTCACAGAGACCGTGAGGCCGTGGATGGCGGCTCCGATGCTGCCCGTGGCGATCATGGATGGGGGGTACATGGCAAAAGTGTAGTCTAGAGCCAGGACAGGGACACAAGGGGTGGGAAGAGGCAGCAGTTAGTAAGGATGCACACGGGCCTGCAGCTTCCCTGGAGAACCAGAGGGATCACA